ACGATAAACAAGTAACAATGCATAAACACGCGTGAACTAGTAACTAATCTAGGTGGTTAATCCAATTAACACTCCTAATTAAAACTAGTCAAAGTTGCTTTAACCGGTTATGTAAATAAGCGCAATTAATATTTGAAGCTCCCGCTAAATTCTGCATCCAACTCAATTAATCCAATTAATTAAGCCGGTAAATCCCAAAATTTGTCAAAATAAATTTTGCTAATGCCGCTCAAAACTCGAGGCCTAGACTCCAAAATTTACTAAAATAATTAAAACCAAATTAGATTAATGAATAATTAAAATGACAATTTAAGCAAAAAATACGTGGTCCAAAATGTCTAAGTGCCTAGCACTAAGACATGGAGCGCTCACATTCCGCACAACCGTTTGATGCTCAATGAACGTGGGAGTGGGCCCGATGTCGCTAAGCGTTACACCGCCCACATCGGCGAACTTTCACACATCAATAAAGTGGCCCTTGATGGCCATGTTGTACGAACTCATTGCACTACATTGCTTCGCAAGCAACGTCTACGCATATTCCCTTTTACACGACGTATGCACCAAGCCCAAGCGCACCATGCTCGTGCACCATGCACCACGCACCACACACCATAGCAGCCCCATACACCACGCACCACAGCACGCACGCATGCACCATGAAGGCAGCGTGCTGCTGCTGCTATGAGGCCTTGCGCACCTAGCCACGGCTTGGCTGCACGCATCCTCAAGGAAGCTCCTTGGCAGCCACATGCGGGCTGCTACGCATCCCGGCTAGCCAAGGGTGCTTATGCCTTGATTTGCATACCATATCCACGAGACTTTGATCCCAAAATTTTTCGTGACATTTTAATTAATTCTAAATTAATTTTAGAACTAATTTATTGAGCAAAATGAAAAATTTAAACAAGTCTAACTTAAAATAAAATTTTCATAGTGCATCTAACCAAAATAATTCCCCAGAACCATTCTTTAATTAAATTGGTTTAACTTGGTGCAACAAAAATAAGAGGGCAATTACTCACTATTAATTTAGTTAATTTAAATTAATCTTGAGTTTTTGACAAAATAAGAGGGAGTTGGAAAAATGAACATAAGTTCAATAAAGATTCCAACTTTAATACTTGTAAATCCTTGAAAAATTATATCTTTCAATGTGAAGATAAACAATTTTCTATCACAAAGTTTCAAACTTTATGATTCCAATCAACTAAAAATGATTAAATCAACAAAGTTTAACAAAAATTCATGAAATTTAGTAACTTAAAGTTTCAATCACTTAACATAATTAAAGATTGCATCTTTAGTACTTGAAAGCCTCAAAGAACAACAATTTCACACTTAATGCAATTAGTTTGCAATTATGTGAAAAATAAAACCAAGCTTTCAAGCACAAATTACCACCAAGTAATCATGCCAAAGAGGTTTAAAATTGCATATAAAATATGTATTGAACCAATTACATTATTACCATAAATATGCAATTAATTTTCAAGGTTAGAAAGACTTAAATTTTTTCGTCAAAACGAAAAATCCCTCGAAAAGTGCATTTCTGGTCATTTTTTTTTTGCTAAAAAACGATCCCTAAAAGGATAAAACCATTTCCAGAACGCCTTTTCCACCCGAAATTCACTATTTTTGGGTCAAAATATGGGTTCGGGGCTGATGATAGCTTTAATACGAGGTTAAAATAAATAAAACGAGATACTAATCTAATTAGCAACTCAAAACCATAAAAATTAAGCCATAAAAACACCTTGAAAAAAAATTATGATTTTAAAAATAAACGAGCGAGACTCCGATACCGCTGTTGGGATTTGGTGAGTCCGACTCACCGCGGAAACAACCCCGACCCAAAGAACCACTCGTAATTAATAAAACCATAAAGCATAACAAATAAACATAAAAGGATAAAATCGGAATTTACCTTTGAAGCGTGCTTCGCTATCAAAGTCGGGCTCTTACTTGAAAGCTTTAAGCTCCGAAAATACGCGAGCCTCCTACGGATTTCCACCCGCAAAAATTACTAGCGACTTTTAGGTCCGTTACCTCGAGGTTAGCGAGGTCGACCAAAATCCGAGTGTCATATGAGTTTAAGAGTTTTTGCTAATGCAATGCTCTATTGAACTCCAACTCAAGAAGGAATTCTCGTGCCATGCTTTGGCTATTTATAAGGAAGGATAGCTTGTGAATTACACTCATCTTTCAATGTGGGACTTTTCACAAAAAGATCCCACATGGGAAGATTGATGAATTCAATTATCCTTAGTTAAATAAACCAAGGAACAAGTAACAAGTGTCACATGGTTAGGTGAGGACCACTTTCCCACTTGGTCCCCAAGGTATTTCACATGCAATGTGAACTAACCATGTGTCACCCAACTTTGAGCCCCATGTTGGGTTCAGTTAGGCCATTTCACTACAAGAAAAATCTCTTTTCGTAGCGATTATTTCGTAGCGATTGTACATTCGCTACAATATGCAAGTATGTTTGTGAAATAATTAAGTATGCCATATCTTTTTTACAATCGCCATGGTTTTCCCATATAAAATCGATACGGAAAACATAATAATACATATCAACACTATTTTTACACATTTATATAATTTTGAGAAATCGTATCATTTACAATCGCCACTAAATCCTAAAAATCGATACGAAAAGCCTTTTCAACACTAGTATATAAATATTGTTTGACAAAGAATACATAAAATATGTCATAGCTTATTGGTGAAACATTTAATATAAGAGTTTGAGGTTGCATGTTCGAATCTTGTAAAGATCATACGCATTTTTTTTTTTTTGAAGAAAATGAGTTAAACATTATAGCAATTGTAATTGCTACAATAATCACCACGATTGGATGTAGTTTTTCGTATCGATTATTGAGGCCAACCCCAACGATATTGAAAACCACTACAAAAGGCTAAGGCAACGGGGGATATTGTATCGAATGATCATTCGTTGGGAAAGCTTTTTGTTGCAATTACAATCGATACTAAAGGTTAAAATAATCGCTACGAAAAGGTTATTTTCTTGTAGTGTTTTATTTTGGCCCGTGTCCATGACCCATCGCCCCGGGTCCACGACCCTTGCCACATGTGTCGCCATAGTGGCACACTGCCACCATGGCGCGCTGCCACTTGGTGGCTGCCACTAGGTGGCTGCCTACGTGGCGGCTGCCACTTGGCGGCTGCCACGTGTGCTACCACATGGCGTTTTGCCATGTGTGCTGCCACGTGGCAAGCTCCTATTGGGCGCGCTTTCCTAGCCTTTCAAGTGGCTAGGATTTTACTTGTTACTTGAAGCATTTTTCCGTCTCGCCAAATCCTAAATTTTGGCTCGACATTTGAGATTCTCCGACGCTCGATTTCGACACTCCATGCTTGAATTACCAACGTCTAAATATTTAATACTCAGGCGACGAATTAATTTCTTCTGAATTAATTCGTCAATTAAGTCGGTTCGTTTACTGCTAAGGGTGTGGCCCGAAGGGTTCAATCAAGATTAAGCTGTAATATTAATTATGCATTAATATTACTGATCGGAAGCGGCCTCCACCTAGGCATTCCGATCACTTGACCTTATATTAGCTTTCTAATAATTCTGAACCCACTAACGGAATAGTACACTTGTTCGAAGGACACCATTCCTTTCAGTGTTCAATCTTCAATTTTCGCGGGTGAATGAATGGAAATTGGGAAAGTTTGAAATTTGATAGTGGCGATTCCAGTATGGGTTTAGTAGGTTCAGCTGAACCCATATTGAGATAAAAAAAAACGAATAAGTTTTTTTTTAAAATAAAAAATACGGAGTAAAAATAAGGAAAATTTAACAACAATAAACCAACCTTTGCCCCATTCTCCCAAAATGAACTAACCTTTAAATCTGCTCATATTAGACACAAGTTTAACATTTTTCTCCCAAAATGAACTCAAATGACCACTAACTTGTACAACCGGTCATTTTTATAAATTATCTTATTTTTTTTAATTAAAAACCTTTAATTATCTTTTTCAAATTAAAAAAAAATACATTTTAAAAAAAAAAAACAGTTTCCCTTCACCCCACTGCCAACCACCCCCTCCTCCACCTCTCCTCCCTTTTCAGCCACCACTCCCCTCCCTCTTCACCTCCCATTTTTGAACAACTCCTCCCACTACATTTTCAGACCACATCCCACTCCCCATGAAACCCCTAAACTGGAAAAAAGTGAGAAATTGATGTAGAAAGATAGAAGAATTGGAATATTGAGAAATTAAGGGAAAATGGGATGATTTCGGAGGAGAGGTGCAGTGGTGGTTATGGGTGAGTGTGGGATAGCTTCGCCCACCCAATTTTTTATTAAAATTACCTTGACAAAATACTTTTCAGATTAGGTGTGGACGCGAGTTGGGTGGGGTGGAATTCGGATCTTGGTGGTTTTGGTGAGAGGATATGCGTTTTTGGATGGTTTTGGTGGGTTGGTTGGTGGTTGGGATGGAGTTTTGACTGTATTCGGTGGGTTGGTATGGGTGTTTTCGGTGGGTTGGATATGGTGGTTTTGATATTTTTGGTGGGTTGGTATGGTGGTTTGGTTGGTAGATATGGTCGTATGGTGATTTCGGTGGTTTTGGTTGTTGACATGGTGGTTACATAGGTGATGTTGCAGTGGATGGAAGTGGTGGTGGCGGCGAAGGTTAAGGTGTAGGTGGCTGTTGATAGGGGAGAAGCTGGATGTGGTGGAAGGGTGATTTTTTTTTTTTTAAATTTCTGTTTTTTTTTTTTAAAATATATCAAAATTAAAAAAAAAAAAAAAAAAAAAAAAAAAAAAAAAAAAAAAACTTGACCAACGATTTAATGACAAGTGGAATTTTACCTGGTATAACAGGTAAGGTAACTTGTTTGGTCCATTTTGGGAGAAAAATGTTAAACTCGTGTCTAATATAGACAGATTTAAAGGTTAGTCCAATATCAGAAAATCGTCCAATAGTTTGTTTATTTATGTTAAATTTTCCTAAAAATAATAGGGTCATATTAAACTCCGCGCATATATTTAGTTATACATCCCGCGTTCTAGTGGTGACTCTCACTCTCATTCAAGGACCGGCGCCGCTTTCAGATCGACGTTGGCCGCACTCCGCCGACGGACAGGTATTCGCCTGCTTGCCTTCAGCCTTCAGCCTTCTCTGAGTTCTCTCTCTTCGACAGTTCAAAACTTCAGTCTTCGCTGTGAGGGGTTATTTATTTACTTGGACAAACAATCTCCCTCCTCCACCAAACAGCACCTTGTTGTTGTCTTCTGTGCTTCTCTGTCTTCTGTCAGGTAAGACTTCTTTCTCTATCTCAGAACCAATTCATACTATTTCATGACGACTTCGGTTGTTTTTTTTTTTTTTTTTTTTTTTTCGAATTATCTTGTATTTGGGTAATTAGGGTTTATATTTGATCTAGAATTGTTAAATTTTCTGATAAAGTTTTGATCTTTCTGCTTCCTCTTGCTCTATTCAGCCAAGCTTTTACTTGGGTAATTAGGGTTTATATTTGATTTAAAATTGTTGAGTTTTTCTGATAAAGTTTTAATCTTTTTTGCTTCCCTCTTTCTCTACTTAGTCAATTGGCTTGTATTTGGGTAATTACGGTTTATATTTTCTTACATTGTATAGTTTTCTGATAAAGTTTTAATCTTTCTGCTTCCCTTTTGCTCTACTCTTAGTCAATCAGCTTGTAGTTAGGGTTTATATCTGATCTAAATTATTGAGTTTTCTGATAAACTTTTGATCTTTCTGCTTCTCTCTTGCTCTACTTAGTCAATTAGCTTGTATTTGGGTATTTGGGGTTTATATTTGATCTAAAATTTTTAAGTTTTCTGATAAAGTTTTTATCTTTCTGCTTCCCTCTTGATTTACTTAGTCAAATAGCTTGCATTTGGTATTTAGGGTTATATTTGATCTAAAATTGTTGAGTTTTCTGCTAAAGTTCCAATCTTTCTTCTTTGCTCTTGCTCTAATAAGCCATTTAGCTTTAACTTGGGTAATAAGGGGGTCTGTTAGTGGTGTTATTTGAGTTAAATTTGGCCGATTTGGCCTTTCAAGATAAGATTGTGCAGAAATTTCCGCTGTTCTGTGGGCTATGGACACTTTTAATTCAGTCCTTAAGTGAGCTTTTTGGCTAAAATTGATCAGTTTGGTGGATTCACACCTAAAGTTTTCTTTCTATTTTTTATTTTTGCTTAACTTGTAATATCCACCCCCATTTTTACTTGTCTCTTTTCAGCAATATGCTTATCGCTTTGGCTATTATTGTGATTTGTGGAAATTTACATAACTCACTTGTAATGTGGGTCTTTTTGAAGAATAGATTGAAATCCACTTTGGTAGGGATACCAAACAACCTTGAAGAGATTTGGTGTTCTCTAGTTTGTATTGGCCGGGAAGCATTATGGTGGAGAGGACTTGGCCTGCCCTTCAATCTTGCAAGCATCAGGTATGTCGTATATTTTATTTCCTTGTGATCCACTCATCAATGGCAGAGACAGATTTTTTTTAAAACAGGGATGCAATTTTTACATCATGTTGGCCATTTTACTATTTTGAAGTTCTATCCTTTTTTTTTTTTTTTTTTGACATTTTTTACAATTTTTGGAGGGCGAAAGTAGATTCAGTTTCCCTTTAAAAATTATCTGAGCAATCTTATTAAAAACGGGGATGTGCTGCTCGTCTACGGGGCTTAATTAATGAATCTGCCCCTGCCATTGATGTAAATTCACTAAAATTTGCTACAAAATATGATAACATGATTTGCGTTTCATATGTTAACTCAGTGTTCTGAAGCAAACGATCTACTGAGTCAATTGCCAGATGATCTTCTGTTTTTTATCATGTCCTTCTTAACATTGAAGGAAGCCGCAAGAACTAGTGTTCTTTCACATAGATGGAATTATTTGTGGCGATGTTTGCCTGTCTTGATCTTTGAAGATTTCTCCGCAATGGAGAGGATGTTCAAAGATGATGATTTTGTTTCCCAAGAAAGATCAAGCTTTTTGAGGTGGGTGAATCGAGTTGTGGAAGCTCATCTTGGTAAATATGTAGATGAGTTGAGGGTGACTTTTGATTTCAACAAACGTTGTCAATCTGATATAAATAAGTGGCTGGTTTTTGCTGTAGCAAAACATGTGAAAAGGCTTGAACTGAACTTCACAACACCCACTGGATGTTACAAATCTTCGCTTCCTAGATGGCGTATGTCTCTTGATCAGCCTCATAATTTATCCGTCTTTAAGTCTTCCCTACGTTCTTTGTCTCTCACTTACGTCTACGTAACTACAAATGATATTGATTGCCTTCTTAGTTCCTGCATGGTCCTTGAGAATTTGTGCATAAATAATTCACGGCCTTTAAAATATATAAGAGCTTTTGGTTTACCTCTGCAGCTAAAACACTTAGAGGTATCTTACTGTCCCCGTTTGAGAACCATTGATATTTTGGCCCCAAAACTTTTGTCATTTACACATCATGGCAACCCTGTTGAGCTACATATTAGAAATGCTTCTTTGCTTTCGAAGTTGTCACTTGGTAATATACGTTGTACAAGAGACATTGTGGCATGTGCTTTTGACTCCCTTTCAAAGTACTTTTCGCAGTTGGAGTATTTGAGTTGGACGATCGGATTGTGCATCGGGAGTAGTATATCGCTTACTTTCTGTGTCAAGGTATTCCGTGATATTTGATTGATGCCTTTTTCTAATGTATGTGTTTGGTTTGCTGATGTTTTCTATTGTAGTTTAATTTAGGGATTAAGAACCCACCTGCCATGACAAACCTCAAGCATCTAGAACTCCATGTCACTGCGTTCTGTGAACAAAGCCTCCTTGGATGGGCAGACTTGATTGAGGCATCTCCACTACTAGAAAGATTGACTCTAAAGGTAAGCACCATTCTGTTCTTTCTCAAATGAAATACTTCCTCTGTTTGTTTGAAATTGCTACATTTTGACTTTCACATTTTTTTAATTTTTGGCAAATAAGTTTTAGCTGGCAATGCTAGAAAAACAACCGCCAAGGAAACAAGAAGTCAGTCTTTACAAAATGGCATCAGTATGAATAGTTTCCCAACTTCTAGGAACGGTTGAAACCACCCACTCTTCATGTGCATAAGCCTGACAATACACCAAACACCACCAATAGAAACTACACAAGAATTAAATGACTATAAAAGCACCAACTACATAAGAAGGAGGTCCCTGTCAGCAGCTTTGCATGTGTAGGTAGCCTTAAACAGAATACTTTGTAGAGTTGATTAGCACCCTTCACCCTTGTTCCAAAAGTTTTATCATTCCCTCAATCCATAACCCATAGACAGTTTCAGCAAAAAGATTAAGGTAGACTTTGAGTTTTCTTTGCCATTTTCACTGGGTTTTGAGTTTCAGTCTCAAAAGAGCCAACAGATCTGGTCATTTAAAAAAGTTTTAAGTGCATCTTCCGAACATCAACAGAGAAAGTGCAAGAGAAAAAGAGATGTTGAACGCTTTCTAAATCCATTCCACACAAAGAGCAAGTTGGATTTGAGATTATCCCCCACTTCATGAGCCTATCTTTGGTAGCTAGCCATTCTGTCTTGCAGAGCCTTCCACAGAATAAGAACAGAGATGTGAAAGGTATCCCTACCTTTTGTATAATAGGCATCAACCCACCTGTCCCATTAACTGTCTTTTTTATGGGAAAGGGTCCATAAAAGTTTTGTCAGCTGCTTTATAACACTTATGCACATCTTATATATTCCATCCACCTGCCACCTTTGGCTTGCACATTGCATCCTAAGCCTAGAGTTCAAAGTATCACGGTAAGTTTCTGCAAATCTTTATATCACTCGAACTACCTTTTTAGGTTAAAGGAAAATTTGGCTCCGGTAGGTTTGATGACTAAACAAAATTACCTTAACCAATTGGAGCCTTCCAGCATATGACAACTTCTTTGCAACTTATGAACTCTATCTGTTTTGAAAAAAGACTCTAAGGAAGCCTAATTCTGAATTTCATATTTGACAACGCATAACTTTGATGATTATGTATTACTCCCTCCGTTCTACATTTCTTGCAACATATTCTTTATTTGTCCGTCTCACATTATTTATACAATTTCTTAAATGGAATGGTCCTACATGTTATTTGTTATTTTTCTCACATACATTACTTTCAAAAAAACATTAAAAAAGAAGAAACCCCAATTTACATACTTATAAAGCAAATGACCCAAAATCTACTAACTACAAAAAAAAAAAATATCTAAGTCAGTTAAACTGCCTAAATCCTTATGCTAGCTAACTTGTTGCGACTAATGTGTGATAGAGAGAATAGTAAAGATTATAATACATTGATATATTTGAAATTATACATTGATACTAATCCACCAAAATTTTACGTGATACAGAGTAACATTTAATTATTTAATGTTAATAATATTATGTGGTCAAACTTAGTGTATGAATAGTGAGAGTCAAATAGTTGCAATTAATGAATTTAGCCATTTGTTGTTCATGCTTAAGATTTTTGCTGGAGCTGGCTTTGATGGAGTTTTTCTTATATGCAGTTTTCCGCTTATCATGGAAAGCATAGTAGGAAGATAATAAAATGAAATAGGCGCCCCCTCAAAAGCTTGAAGACACTAGAGCTTTATAACGATCTCGGACTTCCAATTGATCTTGAGTTTGCTACTTATGTGATTGAGAACTCCGTCATGCTCAAAGATGTGATTGTTGAGCTTAAGCCTTTGTTTGGTCTACTTTCAGAACACATTAGTGTGCAGGATCAAGCTGCAAAACTTAAAAGTATAGTGCCCCAAGGTGTGAAGTTAACTTTAAAAATACTTAAATAGTGGATATGTGAAGGGAAAACATGTGACCTCCATAAGGGTTGATAAGCATATCTATGATCCACTCGCAAAGATGTTAATCGTTTCTCATCAGATGTAAGCGAGTTCTTTTCTTTTAGGGCTTGTCATTTACCACAAGGTCCATGTTATGTTATGTTATTCCGACTGTATATACAGTGCACTTCGTATTATTTTTCTTGTTTTAAGTTTATGTTTAGTTCTCTAATTGCTTGGTGTATGTTGGCGTATACTTTTCTCTCTATTTTTAAAGTGAGTTCTGAAGTTTGACAAGAATTGAAGTTCTTACATGAACTTCAATTCTATCCCTACGGTCTAGTTCTCCAGTCTCCCCACCCTTTCCGAAGTGACAGTAGGCAAATATTCTTTGAATAAGCTTAATAATACACACTTGATTTCACAGGAATACAATACGTGGTGAACCGAAATAAAATATGGATTCGACAGTAGGCAAACATTCTTTGAAAGAACTCTTAGTTGAGATGTTGATTTACTCTGTATTATACTTTGTAGTATGTATGCTTAATCTAAAGCAGAGTAGCTTATAAAACCATCAACACGATTAAAATAACATTGAGACCATAAGATTTTAGGAACGGTCATACTGCCTATTCTTCTTTGGCCACGAAAATAATAGAAATTGCGATAACATAGTTTACTAAAAAGCCTGAGTCTGAGAACGATTTCCCTGAAAATACCATTTCAGTGCAACATGTAAGAAGCAACCATGTTTCAATATAGAACAAAAGGAAGACAGTTATATGTGGATGAATGCTGAGGTGCTGACCAAGACGAGCTGCCTGTAGTAAGAGCATATGCATTAAATTAAGCGTGATCACTTCAGAACTTTCTAAAAGAGGCAATGATGTTAACAAGAATACAGAGCCATCACTGTCACCCGACTGCTAAAGAAGAAGAGACCAATCATGTTGTATAAAATATGGTCGAAGCCAATGTGGCTGAGCGCAGAGCTTAGTTAGCAGCATATGTATAAGTCCGCTTTTAAAGGTGTCCACTGAAATCTGCATGCAAGGCGTAAGATTCAGGGGTGCAGAAGCAGTAGAAGAACAGTAAAAAACATTGCAATTATAATTCACTCAACAAGACATTTCAACATAGTTACAACTTACAAGTAGACACATCTAAAAAAGCAGCAATTACAAGCAGACAGCAGAAAAATGCTAAACAAGACTGTAATAATGGAAATAGCATTGGAATTCAAAACATCTAATGCACTCAATCTAGTATATAATATACTGTAAGTACTGATAATAAAGTTTTTATACATGAACTTTTTAGATTAAAGATGGAACCGTACAAACACAACTGCATTGGCAAAGACCGGTTGACAATATAGGACCACGAGCTCCAGAACACACAGACAGTAGAAGCAAGAAAGAGACAGGGTCAGGATCCATGCAATCTTAAAATTTTGCCCTAGTTACAACTGATACGAACAAGCAAGAACAATGCAAAAATGAACAGAAAATCTACAAACGAAGAGGAATAACATTTGACACGTTGAGCTAGAAGACGTAAACAAATTAGATATAGAATTGCCCATTTGCAAATATGAAATCAGGAAGGCAAAGAGGCCTGTCCAATCTTCAAATACTCAGTAGAGAAAACATTTGAAATTCTATTTTCTCATCAGCATTAATTAGGTATCGTCTTTGTACAAATCCCACCCATTAACATTTGATGCCTTCAGGAAAGAGCTTTTAATTTTTAGTTTTACTATCATGTTTGTGCATTATCATTTGTATAAATCATTATAAATGATCTTTGTAAAAATCCCACATGTGAACATATTCGATCAAATCAGACATGGATGCACGTAAGTAGATATACATGGCCCCTGGGCAGGTCCAGTCTAAATTAGAGATTAATGATAGAACCAGCACACTTCACACAAAACTAAAATAGTAGCCAGGTGGGCCAGTTGGTGTGTCAATCCATTTTGTTTTTCACCAACTACTCAAGACCTATCTAAAACTGTTCTGCAAGACTGCAATGCTGCAACTAATGTCAGCTTCAAGTTAAAATTTCTGAGGGAGCATGATTAAAAGAAATCATAACCCTGAATAAAGCGGACAATGCTAGCAAAATTCCCACCAGACCAAAATCCAGAAGAGATCAATTATTAGGAACTAGAAATGTGCATCTAAATCTTTCAGCAATCAGTTTAATACAATAGTTGGGAGGTCTTACCAATAGCATGGCAAGGACTGGAATAAAAAAGTCAAGCATGATTGTCCTCCCCGGAAAAAAGGCGCATATCAAGAAGCATAATGTCGTTGACCATCGCAGTTGCACCCTAAAAAGCATAACAACTTAACAAGTGAGAACTCTTGACAAAAGTCTAAGCTAAGTTGAATGAAATAATGCATACCGTATTTTACAAAGACTAGTCGTTGGAGCACGCACGTTGCGCGTGCCCCCCCGACGGCAAGATAAGTAAAATTCGTGGTTGTGTTCGGTTGTTGTGATATTCGTGGTTGTGTTCGGGTTTTGTAATAGCAAGGATACATGGATTTATAAGTGTCTATAGGGAAATATGTATGAAAAACAATTGTTATAAGTTTAGTTATCTAGAATTTGCTATAATTTAAAGATTCTTAAAAAAATATATTACTCCCTCCGTCCTTTAATACAATGAATCTTTTGAACATTTATTCCTCACATAATAAAGAGAAAGATGTTGATTTTTTGTTTAAAATGTAGTATTAACTAATCAATTTGAATTTCTACATAAAGTATCTCAATACCTTATAAATCTTAAAACTTAGTTGATTTTAAATCAAATAGGTATACAAAGATATAATTTCTACTAACTACTACAATCAACTTGAATTTCTACGCAAACTATCTCATTATACCTTATAAATTTGTGTTTATTTATTTTTTATTTTTTTCTTTTGTATTAAATGTATTATTAATCAACTTGATATTAACCTCTTTTTCTCAAAATAAATAAATAAATAAAAAAAAAAAAAAAAAAAAAAAAGCACCAACTTGATACCTAGCCTCAAGAACAAAGATATAATTTCTCTACTAAAATCACAATACACATATTGAAGTTGAAAATAAGTACACATTATGCTCATATATTCACTTATATGCTCTTGCATTACTTCATCATTTACGTATCTAATTCTACCCATTTCTACCGTTTAAAAATATAAATTAAATACTACTCGTACTACAAATGAAATTAAATCCCATAACCTCAACCTATAACACTATCACCATCTCACACATGCTTCATCTGGTTGTATCCTTGTCTTCTTGGCGCCTTTAAGCACGTGCTCCACTCCTACAAGTAACATCTTGGCCCTAATATTTCAGGCTTGCTCACTTCATCCCAAAATTATCTGCATAAAACAGTAGAATAAAAAAAATAGAGCTAATCACATATGATAACACGATAAACAATTAGCTTGTATTTTACGTGAAGTTCATATATATACCTGAAGTTCATACAAAAGAAACCTACAAGTAGTTTCCTCTTCTGAAAGAGGATCATTCTGAATGTCACCCATATTAAGAGATATTTGTAACCACCAAATAATTAACCTGCAGATATATCAGTTACATAGATAAGCAAACAAAAAAGAACATGTATTAACTTGCGGACAAATATTTAAGATATCTAAATGATGATGAAGGCATATGCAAAAGCTGATACTTTAAATTCAAGATACTTAATTCTATTATTCTAGCTGCCTTTAACAGCTTATACACTTAATCTGCGATAGATATATGGGGAAAAGCACGGTCTAGACTTATATCCACAAGGCACAATATAAATATATAATGCGAAAAAAAAAAGAAAAAAAAAACACTGAGCTGCATACACGTCCAATCAGAAATCAAATATAAGAAATCTCACAATAAGCATTCCATAGAAAATTATGGGTCTTCCCATGAGAGCCTGTACGAGCAGCCATTAACCAAAAATGCTTAATATATACAAGCAATAACCAAGTTCATTGTCTATCATGTTTGACGAAAAGAATAATGTGTTGCCAATTTCTCTAATCTAAATATAAATGTACTGTATAAGGCAAAGCATCATAAGAAGATGAGAGGTTTTACCAAAGCAGTATATCTAAAGAAATAAACCCAAAAACAATTCATAGAACCCACTATTCATTCAGCACCATTATTCTGGAATGCCAATGATGCCTTCATCCCAAGCCTACTCAAGAACAAGGCATACAGGATGTGCAGAAGAAACACGAAGAAGCAACAATTTAGTAAGAGCTGCCAGAAAAAGAGAGTGTAAGCTTGATGGCTACATTATACAAAATAAAGAATTGATTTTTTTTCTCTATTTATAATAACAAAGCCTAAATGTTCAGAAATTTGTAAGTCAACAAAATCTTTCTTTAAAGATTAATAAGGATAGTTATAAAATACAGTTAAATTCATACAAGCACAACAAAGAAAAAAAAAGCCCTGCAAAAATCCATAAAAGCAAGAAGTCACTCACAGATACTTATTATGAGGTTCGGAGCTCCAAAAGCATTTGAGCAGAGTGATTGAGAACTTCTCTGAGATTGTCTTCCTCTCGATCTTCTCTTCTTTTCCCCCTGGAACTCAACAAAGCAGAGCGAGCGAGTGAGAACTACAGCAACTTTAGAGTTATTACAACTCAGTTGTTGTATCAGGGCTAGCTGACAGATTCGAGGGGTACATTATTGCTCACAGATCATCAAGATTTTATACAAGACCTGTATAAAAACACACAAAACAAGTATGAATAGCAGAAACATTGATGTAGATAGTTGCAACTGAAGTATAAGTGAGCAATCTAAATAATCAAAGAAACAGGAAGAGACGTACGCTTAAACTCATCAAGACCTCCGACCAGATTTGGAATTTAGGTAATGCCCACCTGCGAACGCAATCATGCAATCATAGTAGGGTGTCCTTTTGTTTTTTTTATCTATGCCTCCTAGATTAACTTTGTTATGGGAAAGGTCATAATGTTTCTCTTATCTTACGACAAACTTTAGGCAGAAAAGTCTGCCTCCTTTTCAAATACTTTAAGAACATGGAACCCGTCTTCTTCACAAGATTACAAGTAAGAGAAATCTTCGGAACATTAAGTCATCTATTTCCTTATGTGCACTTCAGAAACTTCTGTCAGTTTTGTAGCACACATTATGTGTTATAGGATCGATAAAGTCATAAATGACAAATGACATAAACAATATTCAATTTCGGGTCATGACTACGTTGTTTGGTGATCGTGATGAGTTGTATTTTCCTAAAGTAATGACTACTCTCTAAGCTTTAATGAGTATTGGGCCATTAGCAGGCTTTTAATAAATACAATCAAGAAAATAAAGTAAGCAAGCAGAGATGTAAAATAACTGAAGTGCTCAAGAACAAGAAGTCTAGAAGAGTAGTATATTGTAATAATCTCAAACAGAATAGCTTGATATACTTTTAGAATCCATCGCCTCACAAACTCATGGAGGTTCATAGAAATGCAAGGTCTAACAATGATCTAACTTTTGCACATCTATTGAATAAAAACTAATTATTACTTCAGATACAAAGGATCACGATCCTGCTCACCATCATTAAATTTAAGCAGGAAACGGCACACATAGTTGCCATACAAAAATAGGAGATAAGAGTGAATATATTTGAAAGACTAACCTCTTTACTCTAACAAGGATGTCCAGGCTGCTTTCTCGGTAGTTAAGTTGATATGGAATCAAGGAGGGCCACGCAGTTGAATTTTCTTTTTTGTTATAGAAGCACAAGACTAACTTCAAGCACTGCATTATTTTGCACCAACCTGCAATTGCTGCAAATATTACAGTAGAAAAGATAAAGGATTCTCAAGTTATTAGTTGTATGGTGTAAATTACTCTCACGTATATAATAATAAATTATAAGGAGACTATCATATCAAACATGACTTCTTTGTTGACTCCTTAATACTTCCCAAACTCACTTGATAAGTTATTACATTCATATAAGTAGAACACAACCCTTATCTAGACATACCACATGTACAAACCTTTACATATATATTTTCTCACCTCATTTAATAAAAACAACAAAAGGCTCATGTAATACGAAATAAGAAGTTAATTAAGAGTGATGAATAAACTTGGGGAGATTAGTGTTCGTTCATCAAATCTATTTTATAAACATTTAAAACCTTCAATACATTTAAACTAATTAACTTTAGTCACTCACACATTTGAAAATTTAACATACACATTAATCCCTCATCACTTTGGCAAATTATCAATTAGTCATTATCCAAATAGTCATTAATCAAAATTGCCCACATTTTAACTTTATAACTAATGTGTAAATAAAGGAAGAAGGGAAGACAAAATAAATAAGAGAAGCCCAAGCATTCATTTTAGCACCACAACCAACTCAACACAACAACACCACATAGGCATCAAATGAGCAATAACAGCCCGCTGCGATAGAACAAGGGTAGCAGACCATAGTAAATTCCAGAAGGCATAATTCCTAGCACACAATTCCAAATCGAGAAATTCTTGAGCCTAGATTGAATAACTTTTCGAGATCTAAAACATTGATGAAGGGACTATGAGCTAAAAACAATTTCAGGTCGATGATTTTCGGACGAACAGAACAGCGGTAACAGGGCAGCACCAGAATAACAGCGGCAACAGCGTGAAACAACAGCTACCCTCTATAGTCACTCACAACAGCAATATCTAACTTGACAGCATAAATTTTGGCAGCAAACACCATATGCATATAAGCATATTAAAAAGAGAAAATATTGGGAGAAAATGAAAAGATATGGAAAAAAAATAACAAGTAAGCTGATCATATTAAAGGTTAGGTGAAAATTGAACCAATTAGAACAAGAAAGAGAAAGGGGAGATAGAATTGTACCTGTAGATCAACAATTCTGTTACAAATCAGACAATAATGTTACTAACAATATATTTGGATGCTCCAACATGAGCTGCATAACTAAGAATTTCAGCGTTTACATAGAATAGAAGGTCAGTACAGCAACTAACCCTCATTTAGTTTCGTTTCCGTAACTTGAAGCCCTGAAACTGTAATAAAACTGCAAAAGAAAGAAAAGAAGACGCTTACTGTATAGTACGCCAAATTCGCATTAATATTCAACATATACTCTTTTCTTTTTCATAACTTCAGAGCTAGGACTTAGTACATAAGTAAAAGACTACAAATAAAACTATGAAGTCTATAACATACATAAACGTGCAGTATCAATAACATGCTACACTATTATGAAATCAGGGTCGGGAAAATAAAGGTTACGCAACTAACAGAGAGACTGCTTTCGAGACTCCATGACCTTCAAACAGAATAGGGAAATTGTATGATTGTGCAAAGGAGATAAAGTAATTATATATGCTTATTCTTTTCAAATATAAATTGAAAAACAACATTGCAAGCGAGCACACACAAAGCTTGCTCAATTTTAAATATGTTATGCAAAATATTAACTATACAAATGAACAAGATCCAAATTGCAAGTGTAAAATAGGTGCTGAACGGAAATCTAAATACTATGTATTTAGGATGTATCTTAATTTGTGGTATAAATTGTATTAGGGACTCCAACCACACAAATTTATCAAAACATGATCATATTGTCAAACCAGATCAAACAGGCCACTGAAATTCATACCTTTGCAAAGACATCACATAAGTACTTAGCAGCGCTCTACATCCTCAATAGCTGCTACCGAATGTCACCTATAACCCCCATTTTTATTAATACCTAGTTCATAAAATTCAATATTAATAACTGTTAAATTTTTTAAAAATCAATCTCCAATCAGAAAATTCGAAATTAAGTAACCCTTAACAAATCAATCTTTCACCTTATAGTTCAAACCTCATATCAAAAATGGTAGCACTACTAAATCAACTTCAAAGTAGATTACAACAAAAATCAAAGCTTAACAAACACCCAACTAAAAATTGCAATCACAATATCAGATCCCAAGAAATCACACTATCATAAAAACAGAAGTAAAAAATAACAAAACCCCATTAAGAAATACACCAAGAAAATCTTTAGCAATTGAATCGACTCAACGATCCACTATGCCTATATTATTTTACTCGATAAATTACAATGTAATAGAACATATTTTTTAACTTCAGATTTCACCAAATTACTTCCAGAAATGAATCGTATTATCTTACAACAGATTATCATTATATTAATCTTAAGAAGCAAATTTGTAGCAAAAATTGAATGCTTAGAATCTTGCCTAGCATAAATGGTCAATAAGTCCTTCACCTTGAATTTTCTGCACATACACATCCATGACATGAAAGACTGGTAAATCAGAAGTATATTCAGAAGGCATCATAAACCCTGAAAATTGATTGCTAATTAAACAATCTAGGTATTTACTCACCATCCATGAAACATTCATCTTCGCCTGAAACATAAGCTCTAGTCAATATGAAAGTAAAATCGGTGAGGGTTTGGATTGTTTCGAAAAGAATCTCATGCCTCGCACTGCTAACCTGAATATGACCGAAACTTTAAACTTTCAGATACATCAAACTGTTAGTCCTCTATAATATAATATCAAAACATGTTTCAAAATAATATATAAAAAAAAAAAAAAGAACAAACATCCAATAATACCCGAGTATCTTCACCTCAAACTCGAATCCACCAAACCTGGGTCCATCTTCCTCCTTGCAAAAATTAAATTTTTAACATCTAAAACACCCATATAACATAAAATAGTGAAATTAATAATCAATTAAAGTCAATATCTTGAAAACTTATACGACTAATACCTTAATTTTGGTGGGGTTGAATCAAAGATCCAAAGTAATCTCCTCTTTTTGGAAAAATACTGAAGAACATAAGACTAATACCTTAATTTTGGTGGGGTTGAGATGAGGAGGAAAGAGAAGGAAGTCTGTGAGAAGAAGGTGAGGAAGTCGGTGAGAGAGTAAGGGGCAAGTAAAGGGGCAAAATTGGCAATTCATTAATTTTAGGGGCAAGGCTGTAATAGCACCACATAGTACTATTCACCAGCTACAGTAAATTCTTTTGCATGTTTTATAATGGTTATAGATCCGACTGATTTTCTTTATAAATAGCCTCCTAAAACCTCTGTTTTGAATCATCAATTCTTCTCATCAATCTTCCATCTAATAATAACCAACTCTCATCAAGAAATTCTTGATATCTTCTTTCTCTCTCTAATCTAAACTAGCCTTCTCTCAAACAGAATTCCGCATTCACAAGATCTAGACATATCTAGTCAAGTTCGAAGTTGCCTTCGCTCAGACGTGAAAAGTTTGATATTTCTGAGGGTTTGGTCCCAAATCTCTATTTCAATTATTTAATTTAATTATTTGATTATTATTTCACTTGAAGTTATTAATGCGTGTATTTTGTTATTAGAAAAAGATACGAAACATCCAAGTAAGTGCTTTAATTGCTTGATTGATATTATAGAAATCATGTTTAGGTTGTTATTTTTTCCTAGTATCATGTTAGGATATTTTATTACTTCCTAATATCATGTTTAAGGTGACAACAATAAGTTTCTTATATCAATTATGATTATTGTGATGTTTCCTATTTTCTTTCCTAATAGCATGTTAGGGCTAAAGTTTTGATCTTTAATGTTTAGTGACATGCTAGGGTTTGTTATTAATCTTGTTAGTATCATGCCTAGGATCTTGCTATTATTATGCTTTAATATGATTATTTTTATAATTTTTATAATTATTATTATGATGATGATTATCGTTGTGTTGAATTATACAATTTAATGTAATTTGTAAATTAGGGAATTGTTTCACATAATTTGTTAATTTACGAATTGTTTCATGTAATTTGTTAATTTACGAATTATTTTATGTTATTTTTTAATTGACGGATAACTTATATATAATTTGTTAATATCATGTTGCTTGATATTTATTTATTGTTATTGCTTGATCACACCTTTTATGCATGTTTAAAGGGAATTGGTACTTGTAATCACGCTTAATAAGATAATTAATAATCTTGTTTAGGGTTAATTTGATTATAATTCAAGTGATCGTCAATAATAGTATTATTTGTGCATTAATATTTAACTAACATAGATTAAACAGGGGTAAACCTATTGATTGTATGTTAGTCAGAAAGTCACATGAATACGAGCAGAATAAAGTAGAGGCCTATTATTAGGGCAGGTTCAATCTCTTTTAGGTTGGATTTGTACTTTCATCCCCGAACTTTCAGTCACGGTTCCAGACCTATTGGAGTTAACGATCTCCTAGATCGTTAAGGGGTGTAACCTTCACCCTGTGAGCGGTTTACAAGTTCCTAAAAGTTGTTGGCAACTCTTTTACTAAAGCTTCCTTCCCTTTGGACGCCACCATGCTTAAATGTATGATCATAGTGGGGTTCAAGTTTGGGGAAATGCTTGAAATATTCCCTAAAGCAGCGCTCTAATAGTTCTCTCATTTTGCCGCCACCAAAAATCAGCTTCACATCTCAAGTAATAAGTAGCACAACCCACCTTAGAGTTTTCTGGGCATTTAACTGCCCCAAACAGTTTCTCAAATTCCCTTAACCAATTTTCTAGTAAGGTAGGGTCAGACTCTCCTTGATAGGTTGGTGGTTTGCTTTGGGCCACCTTCTTGAAAAGCTTACCCTGAGCATCCCCATTGTTAGTTGAATTCCTAGCCAACTGTTGGGCTACAGCTACCAATTATCTCACTACTTCATTCAAATCATTTCCATCATTACCAGAATTACTTCCTCCTGCCATTTTGCTTCTCCTGGATTAAGATCAAGGGTTTATATTAGAAATGGCTTTGTTTAGCTCTCAAGACATACACTCATCTATTACTTAACACCCTTGAAACATTCATAATAAAATTTGAAGCTAACAAATTGGGATAACAAAAGCTAAGAATTCCCTGAATTTGTTGCTTTGTCAATCAATTATTGATTTCTTATCAACCATGCATTTAATAAAGGATCACATAAATAATAAAAAGTAATTCCCATAGATCCCCGTATCTTAGAAATAATTTATTGGAATTAATTTGCTTGGAATTTTGGCTATTTGGATGGTGATGTGAAATGGAAGATTTTGGAGGATGAAATGAATTTTATATCAATATTATAAATAATTTAACAAAGAAATAAATAGGATTTTAATTAATTAAAAATAAACTAGAATTACCAAAATAATATTGAGTTCTAGAAACTTATGTACTACATAAGCTCACTAACTCAATGTGGTAATGCCACTTATTAATTTAAAACTGAAATAATAATAATAAACTGTAATTAAAATTGATTATCCATAACGAGAAAAACTATAAAATCTAATTCTTTCGGATGTTGTCTCTCTTGTCTGCCGACTGCTTGTAGCTACCAGGGTCGAACTCAGGATCATCTACCTCCTCCATTGGTTCAGGTGACTCTGGTTTAGGCTCTACCTGCACAAACTCTCCCTCTTCCTCATCATCAGAAGAAATATCAATAATAATTGGAGTTGAAGGTGGATTTGGGTTAGAAATCTCCATGACTAAACTACCTACCTCCCTTTGCTCTCCATTCTCTGCTTGACCACCATATGAAGAAGATGAAGAAGAGGAAATCTCTGACTGATGGCTAGGATAAAGGGGATCTTATCCCACCGGATTTTCATAATAGTAGTCATGGTATGTGTAATACCTCGTATATTTATACGTATTTTAATTAAAATAAGTATTTTGAGAAGTATTTAATTAAATTAAATTGTTTTATTTAAAGTATTTTTTAAATTTTCTCTCTCTTCCCTCTCATTTTCTCTTTCTAATTTTCTCTCTCTAACCTCCAATGGCCGGAGCACCGATTTCCGTTGTCTTCTTCGTCTTCTTTGTTGCATAAATCGTTGAGTGTAGACATTTATTTTTGGCCTCCTGTCTCGACAGGAAGTGCAATGACGATAAATAAAACCATCTTCGTGTTGGATCAAAGTGAAGAATACTTATGGAGAATTGGTTAAGCCACAAAACACAAAAGACTAGCCCGAATTAAAGATAAAAGCCAAAATAAAGGTCCAATTAACTAACCCGGTCATAATTAGGTTTAAGCCCTTCCTTAAAACCCAATAATGACGGATTTAGGAGCGCCTAGGTTAAATTTTAATGCTACCGCAGAAAAAGCCGCGCGCATCTCAAACAGTCGCACTGGGCTGCCGAGCGCAACTAATTCAGTTGCGCGCGACACCCAGCGCAACCTCCAGAGTTGCGTTGCGGAAGATTCAAAATTATACGAAAAAATATAAAATCGAATCTTACCATAAAGCCGCGCGCAAGACAATTAGTTGCGCTGCCAACCTAATCACTTGCGCTTGGATGCCGCGCGCAACTCATCCTTTTGCGCGTGACACCTGCTGCGGCAGAATGCTCGTAACCCTAATCCTAATCATTCCCTATAAATAAGAGCTTAAACCGAGGCTTAAATACAGAAAAATAACTTTAACACTCTGGCGAAATACTTGTAAACTTGTGCAACCTAGCCCTTCTTGTCCTAAACACTCACCTCTTTTGATATTTTGTTACTACGGTGGAGGTTCCCCAAGAAGAAGGAGTCCATAAGTATTCTAAATGGAGATCTAGCAAAGAGAAGTGGTAAATTCCCGAGCACTTAGTTAAATCACATTTATTTTCTTGTTTAAAGGAACCCTAATTAATTAATTAGTGTTGTTTGATCACCTTTAGAATAATTAATTAATCAATTCCACATAGTATCTTGCGTTAAATAAAAATTAGAATTGAATTAAATAATTGTTGGTTGATCACTTAAGCCAAGGCGAATATTGTTTATTTTCTTGTCCTTTTCACAAATTTGATTAAATAAAGAATAACGACATCACAATGTAATTCCTACGTGAATTGGTATGTGTAAATAAAATCAACTGACATAGTAATAGGTATCGCGTTGCATATATTGTTTGGTGGTGAAATTGTAAAAAAGGAAGAGCTAGTAGAGGCCGAACTAGGGCTAGGGTGACGATTGCTCTCTATAGGGAACGTTATTTTAGTACCCTCATTCCCGAACTCATTTCTGGTTTATAGAACAATTTGGGCATGGGTAAACTTATGATTCGTGCTAATTATTCCATGAACTCCACATGAAAGAAAGGCATGAACGAGGTTTATGAGTTTTCCTAAAACTCATTGGCGACTCCCTACTTGTTTCTTACAAAAAAGCGTAATGATAGAATCAATTCTAATTCAAGGTCTCCCAAATAGTCAGGAATTCAAATCCTACTACACCCTAACAAGTGTAAAGTCCTAGGCTTTTAAAGGGTCATGGGCATTTAAGGAGAGGACCCCTTACGATGAGAACCCCCTCCTTACAGTGGCGACTCCACTGGGGACTTAGAGGTTACATGATTAGTTCGTAGTTATGATCCAAGGTTTCCAACACTAGGTTGCCTATGGGTTGTAACGAGAATTAACTTGGATAATCTGTAGTTAGAGAGCGAGACTTGAACGCATAATATCTTCCTTTTGCACAAAAGTAAAAACCAAACAAGCAACATTGCATCATGCATAAGCATAGCACACTTAAACCATTGGGGATTGGCTCATTGACTAGGGGTCGCCAACACTAGGCTTCTATCCCGAAATCAATAACAATCATCCCACCCATATCGCCAACAAAATGTTGGGAGGGCAATGCCATGAGTCAACACGTTGAGTGATTGATTTTTGCGTCGTTTCTTAAGATGTGGTACCTTTGGACATCCAAGCCTTTTTTGACCTTAGAATGGCATTGCATGCTTATGTGATTATGTGACTATATGCAACGTGTTAGGATAGTCTTCTTTTTTCTTTTTAGTTTGGTCTAGGTTCCTAATTACGAAGTTGTCTCTTCGTGATTTAGAGTCATATTCAAAGGATAGCAAAGAAAAAAAAATCAAATTAAAAAAAAAAATGATGACAAAAAAATGCTCGAATTTTAAAAAAAAAATCCTATGAGCAGGTGGCGCGCGCAACTCAGTGAGTTGCGCGACCCCTCCCAGCGCAAGAGATTCCGGTGCGCGCGCCCACTGAACGAATCAATTTTTCTTTCTCAAAAAACAAATTGACTCGTCTGAACAATATCTTCATTGAAAAATTGTTAAGGGTGATGTTATCCGTTTGAATATATTTTGCGTCTTTTATTTTTTTTTCTCC